TATGTCGGGAGTTACTTGGGCTTGGTGGTATTTTGTGTTAAGGTATTTCTGAGCAGCTTTTATTTGAGGAAGGTTTTGGGAGAAGCCACGCTGCGTCATCCCCGAAGCGCTGGGTGGATGCAGTGAGATGCCAGAAACCCATCTGCTCCTGCAAAGCCTAACTCTTCCTTAGACTTCGATTTCAAACAGAGCTTCAGATTTTATTCCTTAAATGACTATTTGTGGATCGTGGTATTAAAATGTTTATTATTTTTTGCCTGGCTGCTGGCATGAGGCTCTTTTCCATGGAGAGAACTGGGGCTGATAGCAGGCTGGGCTGCTGGAGATGCCATGCTCCTGCCTGACGTGCCTGCTCCTGGTTTGCTTGCTCAGCGTTTTCTGCAAAGCGCTGCCAATGCAGCGAAGCGGTTCTGCCTGCAGTAGTTTCTGCAGGCAATCACCCAGCCGTGGTGGAAACATCTCCCCTGCCAAATGCATACGTGTGGCAGGGGCCAGCAGATCCCACCTGCGTTTGTACCTCTTGCCTGTACCTAAGGGGAGTCCCTGCTGGGTAGGAAACAGCTTTTTTCCCAATTTTTGCTTTGTGGCTGGTGGAGTAGGATTAGGCAGGAGGGGAACGGGAGCCCAATGAATTAAACCAAGTTCCGACAGCGATCTTCAAATAGTTGCTTAGCAAATGTTTTATATCTCATTGCTCCCAAGTCCTGTTGACTTTCTGCCAAAAGCTAAGCTGTTCCCTGGTATGTTTATTTTCCACCCTGCATGAGCAGGGTGTCCTTACCAGGCAATGCCACCGAATGAAGAAGGTCGGGACCTTTCCTGCCATGTATCAATGCTGGTATGAGGGAGACGGCAAAAGCATTTTGGGGAGGGGAGTGCAGGACCGGGGACACACAGCCCCGTTAGTCCATCTCAAGCTGTGGTTTGTGACTGCACCCAAAGGCTTTTGTTTCAAGAAAAGCTTTTTTTTCCAAAATTAATCCTATCCCTTCCCTCAGCTGCTCAGGTTTGGTTCAACACCTCCCTCGAGCCAGGTTGTGCTTCTGGGCATTGGGGGAAGTTCACTCAAGTCCAACCCAACCCTTGTTGTGCTAATGTATCAGCTGTGTCCGATGGAAGGAGACAAGCACTCCCTGCACCCATTTTGGGGCAATACCCTCTGATTTTTCTTACAGCTTGAAATGAGAAGCAGGACATGGTCAATCTGTGCCTCTCCCACCTGTGACTCTTGGCAGAAGTGTCCAGCTCAGTGTTTCTTGCATAATGCAAGTGGCCTTGACACTTACGTATCCATTGCCCAAGGGGGGCAAGAGGAGGCAGGAAAAACTTCCTGGAGATGCAGGAGCAGAGCTCACATTTCTTTCTCTTAATCACCATCACCCCATCTTTCTCCCCTAAAGTGGCAAAACCCTTTTTCAATTCCCCCTTCCTCCATTCAGTTGAGGGTTTTAATGCAGCGAGTGCTGATAAGGCAGTTAGCTACAAACTTTGGTCTCTGCATGATCCATTACAGAGCAAGGTGTGAGTGTTTCTTGATGAGCTAAAGCAGCAGGTAAATTAATACCCAGTCCT